GCAGGAATGAGAAATCACGACTCGTACCATGCCTGTGTGCATGGTGTGCTGCACCATAACCATTCTGCTACTGGGGCGCCCTGATGATCTGTATCCTGTGTGAACAGGGATCATAATGGTCCCAAAGGTTTTGGATTATGTAAAATGTTATTGGATCCTTTATTTACAAAGAAAAACAATGACTTTTGCCAAGTAGGCAAACACCTCATTACAGCAGGCAGAAGGCACAAAGAGTGATCTACAACCACGTGATTTAGTGACAATTTGTAAGTAAGTGTGAAACAGGAAAAAGATGTACAGGACAACGGAAGATTTTTAAAGGCACCCAGTGTAGTTTTTGACCACCAGAAACACTGTGGGGCAGTGTGGGTCGCTGTTTTCTTTTCTTGCATACATGTGCATGAGATCACACATGCACAGGCCTGCAACTCCCTGCTAATGGTTGCACCCAGAAATGCAGCAATGAGGAAGAAGACTGCTAGCAAGTGAACATACATTCAGCGCATTAGTTTGGTCTCAACGACACATGATGCTGTTGTTTGTTACAAGAAAACTCCACAGGGCACCTTTAAGATGAGCTCACTAAGGATGATTAGAAAAGCTGAAGACAATTAGGTTAATCATTGATCCAGTCATATCCCTTTAGAAAGATGAACTGTTGAAAACATTAATTAGAAAAGGCCCCAAACTGTTGTGTAATTCAACCAGAGAAAGTGTGAATCACAACAAGAATCAAATCATGATGAGCCATTTCACAAATCAGTATAAATATAATCAATATAAATCACATACTGTACTATAAACACAGGAAAAGATCCGCCCTCCTCAAATGGGTAGAAGTGGTTTTTCTTCATTCACCACGTTTTTGCAGTTTACATGTACAGTGTCATTTGATCGAATTCAATTTACACACATTCAATTAAGAAATGAAACATAGAGAATCTGGCTGCCTGATCACCATATACACGCCACATCGCCCTGTGCCACGTCTTGTATGTTTAGTGCAGCAGTACCCCATTCTGAACGTGGACGCTGTCAGAGTAGCTCTTTACTTATTCACCACAGTGATTCAAACACCAATCAAAATGTCATTAAATCTACAGTATGTAACTTTTTCCAAATATTTTTGTTGTAGCTCCAAAACATGCTGTTGAAGCCTCCTGTGAGCCAGACTCACTGAACAGCACTGGCAGCAGTGCAGAGACATTGGCTTCTAAAGGTTTTGAGCACGATTGACCTCTCTAACCAATCAGAGATTTTCAATTATTTCTGCTTGATCGGTCAGTTTTGTTGCATTCTCATTTGTTGTAATTTCATAATGCCAAATATCTGAAGAGCTGGGCCGAGCGGAACAGATCACAGTAGAGCGTAGTGGAGCAGGGAGAGGGAGCGCTGGGTGGAGCAGAGTGGACTCATTTGGAGTTTCATGTTAGCACTACCTTAAGTTACATACTGCAGCTTTAAGAAGTCACAGGTTAGAATGTCTTGTTAGATATAGTGAGTGTGTTGTGAGTCCTGATCATTAGTTGACCCGTGTCATCCCAGAGTTAAACAGAAGCTGTAGGAGTTTAGTTTATTTACAGCTTCTTAGATGCACACTCATGCAGCGGAAGTCTACAAACTCCCAAAGCTTACCATTAGAAAAAGAGTAGGAGTGGGAGAGGCTGAGCTGTAGCCTGTTTGCTGGAAATGACGGAAACACACAGCAGGTCATATAAATGAATTACAGCCTCTGTGGTTCAGACTTAAAGGCTGATGTTACTTGTATGCACGTTGTAGCGATGACATGCAGTAATGAGTTATGGAAAGATTGGTTGTGGTTTGTATGAGTCGTAAGGTCATACCAGCTTCAGCTGCGGTGCTGCCACTGGAAAGTGAGGAGCCAATGGCGCAGTATAGAAAAGGAGTAAACATTCATCCACTGGTCCTCAGTGAAGCTTTGGCCCACACACAGCACAGTAAAGAAGTCCCCAGACACCGTCCCATCCAGCTCTGCTATTGGCACTGGCTGATAGAAAACACACACACACACACACAGAGACACTGCTGAAAGAGCTGACAACCTGCATGCTTGTATGAGTATGCTGTACAGAATACTGTGACTACAGACTACAGATCTGAGCGTAGATCACTTACCTGACGCGACCTAGGTCCTGTGAAAAATCCTCCGGAGGAAGCTCCACCTCCCTGTGTGATGCTTGCATAACGCAGCCAATCGACAAGCTTTTTACTCAGGAGGGTCACGTGATCTATAGTCAGTCAGATGTAGTGTGGTGTTTACCCCTCATAAATACAACTTTACAAAGCAAAAGGATGCTTATTTATCTGAATTTTAACTTTGTTTTTTTTTTTTTGTGCTGGAAACGTGGCCGGCCTATTACCTTCAGTGAGGCACTCGGGGCTGTGTGTCAGGATGGTGTTGAGGATTGGCAGGGTGTGTGTGAGCAAGTGAACTGGCCCTTCTGACTGACGGCTTTCCAGGCCACGAAGGAGCAGAGCGCACAGAGATGACAGATCAGCCCTGGATCCAGCCTGCAGGGGTCAGAGTACATGAAAGACGGTGCTTAGCTGATGAGATTAGACCTGAGAAAACAAAACAAGCTCCTCTGAGTGTTAATACGTTATTGTCTGCTGAACTCAACAAGCCAAACAGCCTGAGCGTCTCAATGTGTTTACAACACAAACAATTTTCTTCTAAAATTCAATCAAACCACAGAACTCTGACTCTCATTGAATGTGGAAAGACTGTCACAAAATGCAAGCCATGTTATCTGAATTAAGAGTAGTGGCAAGATGACTACTTAATTCATTATTAGTTGATTGATTAAAAAAAACTGCAACAATTTAAAAGGCAACAAACAGTCATAATAATGATGAATAAGGCTTAACAAAGCACACAATATGCATCGCTGCTCACCTGTGAGAGCAGCAGGCCAACAACATGGGTGTTGAGCTGACCAATGTTCTCCTGGCTGTAGTTCAGCTCCTGGCCAGAGAGGGGCAGCGTCTCCCTGAGCACAGCTGAACTCAGCACCTGGAACTGCTCTGATCGGGATGAGAGGAGCAATAACAGCCTCTTCTGAAGCTCTGATGGCAACCTGTGGTCAGTAACAACAGAGACATAAAACTGGGAACTCTAGGGGGGCAGAAGGCAATGCAGCACTTTTTAAAAACAACTTTACAAATTGCTTTAGTGACATGAGAGAGGTTAAAGTCAGTGGGAAGATAAACCTATCTGGGAGAAAATAAAATGCATAACAAGACAAATTAATCAATAAAGTGAAGTAGAATGACAAAATTAAAAGCCCAAGTTTAAGTGATTAAAAGGTGATCTATGAAAAAGAACTCAACACCATGAATAAGGGATTCTGTGTCCCGAGCTGAAAGATGGCCGTCACTGTTCTCTTACAGAAATGTGAAGAAAACGTTTAGGTCAGATTCAAAAATAAATCCTAGATTTCTTGGCAATGGAGCATGAATTCACTTTTGGAAACAAATGCCACCACTTTAGTTGTAAGACAGTTATAAGCTGAGCAGGAGCATTTATAGACAGATATATCAGATTATTATCGGTCCAACAGTCAAAACAAACCATGCAATTTAAAACGACTTGCTCCACAGGTAACATACAAATTGAAGACAAGGGCCAAAAACAGATGCAGTTATTCAGTACGCTGTCAGACGAGGCTTTCCCCACAGACACAGTGAACATTACATCACTCAGATAAAACTTTATCAACCCAAGAGCTGCACATCGACTTATTTTATCCCAGAATAGTAGAGGACCAGTGTTCTTTGCTTTGCTAGTGAATGTGTTGATAGCTTATCATAAAAATAAGTTCACTGTCTGTTAAATGAGAAACCGAGGAAGCTTCCATGTGCAGGGTAGAAAACAACCTGAAGACTGAGCAGCTGAGGTTTGAGATTGTGGCTTCTTGTGAACCACTGAGGGCTATGGGGGTTTAGAGGAAAGAGTTAGAGAGGTAGGAGGAGGGAGCGATCAAGGACAGAGGAGCTGGACAGTGACAGGCTTAATATTTGTGAGGAAGAAGTTGCAGGAAATGAAAACAGGAAGGCGGTGATGAGTCATCAGGTATGAAATGTGCTAATTAAACAGAATATGAACGGAAGTGAGAACTCTTACGTCCTGGTGTACTTGGTGGCAAAGAGGATGAGGAGTAGCCTCTGCAGGGAGTCGACCGCCTCATGCCCGAGCTCCTTCCCCTGGAGCAGCCTGACTAATCTGCTGTAAAACCTCTGCAGCTCAGGCTCGTCAATATCCCTATAAATCACACACACACACACACACACAGTCCACATGCTTCTGTCTGTAAAGTTCGTCTTTTTTGTGATTCAACACTTTTTAACATTTCGCAGTTAATACATAAATAAACACACACAACATGTGATGTGGAAATCATTGCTGGCTGAAGTTCTACCTGTCGTAAAGATGCAAAAATAAATTAGCATAAACGTAAAAGATACGTAACATATTAACGCACAATACACAAGTTAGCTAGCTTAGCGGGCTAAAAGACAGAAAACCGCATAAACAGCTGAGGAGAAAAGTTGGAGGTGTCAAAGGAACTTGTATGTTTTTGTGTTTTCGTACCTTGCTTGTTTAATTAAACTCTCTGAGCCGTGAGAATACATTTCGAGAAAGAGCTCAGCATTCCTCTGCTTCGTGTGTCTGTAGCGGAAGATAAACAGTACGGTCGCTAATCAAGTCCTGACTAGAAATCACATGACATTAGTTCCGCCTTTCAGCCCTGAGCTCATATTCATATTAACTACACCGTAAAACCTGCGGTCAGTGGCTTTATTTAGCTAATACGACTAAAAATGTTATCTCATTAAAAACGCATGCTCGTTTCCGTTTGATTGACGACATACCCAGTATCTTATATGATCACTTTAAGGACACGTACTATAAATTACATCACATTTCTGCTTTAGATTTCTGGCTTCTTATTTTAATTCACACATTCCATGGTCTAAAATGTAATTAAACACTTGCGTTTTATTTACCTTTATTCCCAGTGCTGAATTTTATTCTGGTTACTTGCTCTAGACCTGTTCACAGTCAACTTTGATATGTCATATACAGTTATAATCATAAAGTTATAATCATTAACATTTATGAATGCTACTCAGTTTGACAAAGAGTGTCCCTGTGTGTGCTGGTTCACTGCCATGGCTGAACGAGAAACAATAAAACTGAGCAGTCACTAATGTCACTAACACCTGTGCTTTCCCGACAAGTAATAATGTGCGCTTACTTTGAAGATAAAGATTTTACTACGGAATCTGAATTCACCACAGCTGTTCAGTCATGGGAGATCATTTACAGATCATTTGCAGATTTCTGTTTACTTAAGCCACATAGCTATATTATAAACATTTTGCTATAAGAAAAATGATATTCAAATCATTTCCTTAAGTCAAAGTAGTAATGCTGTATTATAAAGATCCTCTATATAAGTAAAAACTCTGTAATGAAAATGCCACTTAAATAAAAAAAAAGGCTTGATGAGTACAATGTACTTAATGTAATAAAAGTAATTCAGAAAAATGCAACTTGTCAGTGTTATACTTCCATATTAACTATTTTTCTGGCAATAATCTGTAAGGAGCAGTTGAATGTCCATCCATCCATCCATCCATCCATTTTCCTCCGCTAATCCAGGACCGGGTCGCGGGGGCAGCAGTCTAAGCAAAGATGCCCAGACTTCCCTCTCTCCAGACACTTCCTCCAGCTCCTCCGGGGG